ATATATATTTATAAAATTTCTAGTGGGAGTTCTATATAAATGTTTCTTTGGTATTCTTCAACTTGTGTTTTAAAGTTTTACAAAAAGCAGAGCTTTTTCCTAAGTTACTTTTCAGTTAGGTAACTGTGTGATCCAGTTCTTCCAGCTGCTTCTATAATGAGGCACATATTAATACGGTTTTTATATGGTATCTATGAAAGAGTTCACTTCATAGAGAATAATACTTGAGCAAATGTATCCAAGAAAGCAAGCAAATGAAAAGGAACCTATTTATGGAATAAACTCCAGATCTGAAATTCAGTATTTTAGAAAAATACCAGCTCTTCTTACTGTATTTATTAAAACTTGTAATAATGTGATTTTTTTCAAGGATATTAGTTCAAATTGAAATGGTTTCATGCCACATGGAACTCTTTAAGTTAATTGTTGAGGTACCATATATTTAGGGTGCTAGGGGCAAGTAATGTTAATATGTGCAATAGGAACTACTGGTTTGAATGTGTAAATGGATGATCTCTCTGAGTTCTGGCAACATCCAGCAAAACTACTGCTTATTCTCCAAAGAATACTGGGAGCTCTCAATCCTCAATGATATGGGACAGAGAACTGAGTATTTGCCCTTTGACTGAGTTTTCTATAGGAATTTTATTAAAGAATGTTTAATTTTGTTGTCCTTCTTAAGGTTCTCAGTCAAATAAACGAGTGAGCTGGTTTCGGCTGTTCTTGGAATGTGTGAGCCTCTTCTTTATGGGTAGAATAGGCCTTTGGGACTTGGCACTGGAACTCCAAGAAATGGCAAAGTCAGTTGACAAACCAGCCACAGGAATAGGCTAAGGCTTATTGCCTCTTCCCTGACTTCTCCCCTTGTTTCCCAGGCTCATCCATGGTGTGGGAGGCCCCATGGACTTCGGTGGGAGGCTGAGGTGAGAAGCCATGCATTTGGGAGGTACCCTGATGTCTGGGTAGTTGCTTGGCACCTGTTTCATTAGTTGGCACCTGAGCCAAGGCCAGACTGTACCACTTTGGAGCTCTTGTTCATGGGGCAGATGCCAGAGCAGTCCAGTTCCTTGGAAATAACTCAGCTGAGGATGGGAGTTGGCCTTTGAATTCATTTCCAGGGCTGGTGTAGACTCACTGAGACTTCCAGGAATAGGACTGTGGAAGGGCAGGTTTGTTCAGAGGTCTTTGTCTGGTAGCCGCCCGCCACTTTATGAACCAGGCCGCAGGTCAGTAGTTTGCAGAATGGTGAACACTGCCAGGAAGAAATGGATACCACTCTTTCCAGCGGGGTCTCCTCCACCGAAAGGAGGGCCTTGATATATGAGCCAGGTCAATGAATGTGGATGTCTTTAAGAGCCAAAAGGGGAAACTAACTTCTCTGTGTGTCCCCAAACAGTCTTGCGCCTGAACCCAGGATAACTCTTGACCTCCTCTTTGCTCCTGACCTCTGCTACAGACTCCCACCCCAAGGTAGCCAGGGCAGTGTTACTTAGTAGCTACTGAGCATTCCTAGCAAGCACTCCCTACAGACTTGTTGAATTGCATGTCTCTGACCTTCAGGAGCTCTGATTGGGCCAGAGAGGAAAAGGTAGAAGGCAGAAGGATAGCTATACTCCTGGATGTTAGGACATTAGGACCCCGGGCTGCATGAACAGCTTCTTACATAGGATTGGTTACCTCATGTCTTGATTCTTGAGCGCTCTGGCCAACAATGGATATTATCCCGAGACACTTTGTTCCCTGTCTTTTAGTCTTTTCCCATGTTCCCCTGAAATAAGGTCTTAGAAACTGTACATTTCCATACTTGAGGATAGCATCTGTGTCTACCTGGGTTTGGTGGGGTGAGGGCTGGGAGGGAGCAGGCAGTGCAGAAGATGACTGTTAACCAAGTAATTCTGGAGTGCTCACCCTTGGACTCCAGAGACCAGTATTTGTAATCCAACTCTCCCTTTGTTACCCTTGAGTAAGGTATTTATTTCTCAGGGTCAGCGCTTCCTAGTTGATAAAATTAGACTATTAATACCTACCCCACTTACTTCTCTGGGGTGGGGAGACCTTGGCTTAAAAGTAGGGATAGGAACATGTACTGAGCCCCAACTCAGACAAACTCACTTCTTTCCTTGCTCACCCTTCTCCAAGACTACTGAGAGAAGGAACTCCAGGAAGGAAAGCCCCATCCAGTGTTCTATCCTTGTCCTGTCTCTGAGGAGATCCTCCAGTGTATTCTCAGTTCTGCCTTGTCAGGACCTCAGCCAGACAACCTGTAACATAGGGGTCACTTGTCTAGAGAAGGTGAAAGATTGGTCTGTGGAGTAGAGAGCAGAGAAGTACCATGCCATGTAACCCTGCCAACTGGGGATGGGTAGCTCTTAGAAAGGACAGGGCAGGGGCTGGAGTTTCTTGGAAAGGAAAAATAGGAAGAGCTGGCTAGGTACAGCATATATACAGGCTTGGAGGTGAGAAAAAGCGGGATTTGTGGGCACTAACATGTTTCTTTCCATCTGCCTTCCCATTCCTCTATTCCAGAATACTACATCTCTTCTCAGGGATCTAGTCCCATCCTCATGGAGCCACTCCCTCTTTCAGTATTAGGCAGTTTTATCCTCTTATCCAATGATGGAAAATCTTTCTGACAATATCTTCTGAGATATTCCTGCCCTAAGATATATACTAACATTTTAGAACCCATGATTCATTTTCAATTTTGACAAAGCCTAGATTCAACAACTTAAAAATTTTCACGTTCCAGACCCTCACTCTTTATCTTCCTCTCCCTACCTTTTATTTATTATGAAAAATAAAGCATAGAGAAAGGTGCAGAGATCCTTAACAACAAGAACGTTGCCAACACCGCGGAAGTCTTACAGGCTTCCATTCCTGGTCAGGATCCCCTCCCCCTTGCTAGGAAATCACTGTACTCTCTTTTACGGCAATCATTTGTTTCCTTGCCTTAGAATTTATGCTGCCTACGTTTTTAGTCAGATTTCTTTCATTCAGCATTGTGTTTTCAAGATTCAGCCATGTAGTTGCAAGTAGCTGTACTCATTTGTTATCATTGTATAGTATTCCATTTTATGGCTGTCACATAATTTATACCCTCTCTACTGTTAGGATACGTACAGTTTGTTCCTAGTTTGAGGCTATTAGAAATAATATATACCTTTATCATTATAGTTTATCTCCTGATTCATATATGTACATATTTCTTTGGATGTATGTACTTAAAATTGATGGGCCATAGGATTCTGTATATGTTTATCTTGACTGGGTAATACTACAGTAAATGGTTGTACCAATTTCTTCCTCCCCCAGTGGTACATGAGAATTCTTGTTGCTTCACATTCTCACCAATACCCAGTTAATTTTTAGCCATTCTGGAGTATTGAGTGATTTCATTTTCATTTCCTTGATTAATAATAAAATTAAGAGTTTTTTTATTATTGTTTTTGGCCATTTGGATTTTCTCCTTTGTGAAATTCCTGTTTAAATTCTTTGTCCATTTCTTTATTGGGTTACCTGTCATTTTGGCTTTGAGGTTGTTGGTTTTTTAGTTTTGGTTGCTTTGAAGAAGGTTTTTTTTTTTTTTTTTTAATTTTGCTTTTGTTCTGTGAAGTTCTATATATTCTTTTGGATACAGGGTTTTCATCAGTCATAGGTGTTAAAAATCTTTTCCCACGGTGTGTGTAACTTTCCTTCTCATTCTCCTAATGGCTTCTTTTAATGACACAAGATCTTAATTTTAATGTTGCAAAATGTATCATTCTTTTCCTTTTGGGTTAGTACCCATATGTGTTTAGATTTCTTTTCTCTAAAGTCTTGAAGACATTCTCTTGGATTATCATCCACACACTTTATATTTTCACCCAGCCCATTTAGATCTGTAGTCTACCTAGAATTGCTCTTTATAGCATGAAGTTTGAGTCAATTGTTTTTCCCATGTGGGCAACAAATTGCATCTTTCCTCAGTTTTCTTTTTTCTTTTTTTCTTTTTGAGACAGTCTGGCTCTGTCGCCCAGGCTGGAGTGCCACTGGTACAATCTCGGCTCTTCCACCTCCCGGGTTCAAGAGATTTTCCCAACCTCAGCCTCCCAAGTTGCTGAGATTACAGGCATGTGCCACCATGCCCGGCTAAATTTTGTATTTTTAGTAGAGATGGGGTTTTGCCATGTTGGCCAGACTGGTCTTGAACTCCTGACCTCAATTGATCCACCCACCTTGACCTCCCAAAGTGCTGGGATTATAGGCGTGAGCCACCGTGCCTGACCCTTTCCTCAGTTTTCTATAGACCCACCTTTGTCATAAATCATGTCCATACATGTGTGGGTCTACATGTTAAGTAGATTTCATCTCTATAATTTTATTTATCTTCTTTGTCAGACTATCATACATAGCATTTACTGTGTACTAGTCACTCATCTAAACTATATATGTATATATTTTTGTACGTATTTATTGATATATATCTAACCCCTGTAACAATCTTATATGATAGATGCAATTGTTTTTCCTTATTTCAGAGGTAAGAAAGCTGAGGCATAGAAGGGTTAAGTAACGTGTCCATAATCAGAGAGTAGTTGATGGAGCCAGTATTCAAACCCAGGAAGTAAGAAGCCTGTCTTAATTATCTGTGCTCTTTACTCACAGTGCCTCAATATACATTTCAGATTTATTGGATTCCACAAATAGAAGCCTATGGAAATTTTTAATCAAATTGCATTAAGTTATAGATTAGGTTGAGGCAAATTGATGTCTTCAGAATATTGAATTTTCCAAAGTACATAAGTCGAGTACCCATTTTTTTAGATTCTCTTTCATTTATATCCACAACAATTTATAGTGTTCTGTGTTTAAGTATTACATATCTTTTGTTAGATTCCTGAGTAAGTGATTTTATTGTAAGTTTCATTGTTGCTAATCTATAGCAATCGTTCTCAAAGTGTGGTCCCCTGATGAGGAGCATCAGTATCACCAGAGAGAACTGATTAAAATGCAAATTCTTAATTTTTAATTTTTGTGAGTACATAGTAGATATATGTATGTATGGGGTATGTGAAATATTTTGATACAGGCATGTAACATGTAATTATCACATCAGGGTAATTGGGGTACCCATTACCTCAAGCATTTATCCTTTCCATTACAAACAATACAGTTATACTCTTTTAGTTATTTTAAGATGTACAATTAAATTATTGACTCTACTCTATTGTGCTGTCAAATACCAGATCTTATTTATTTTTACTATTTTTTTGTATCCATAGAAATGCACATTCTAGGCTGGACATGGTGGCTCACAACTGTAATTCCAGCACTTTGGGAGGCCAAGGCAGGTAGATCACCTGAGGTCAGGAGTTCGAGACCAACCTGGCCAATATGGCGAAACCCTGTCTCTACTAAAAATACAGAAGTTAGCCCGGCATGGTGGCTGGCACATGTAATCCCAGCTGCTTGGGAGACTGAGGCAGGAGAATCACTTGAACCCAGGAGGCAGAGGTTGCAATGAACCGAGATCACACCACTGTATTCCAGCCTGGGTGACAGAGCAAAACTCCATCTCGGAAAAAAAAAAAAGAAAGAAAAGCGCATTCTTGAGCCCTGCCCCAGAGCTACTGAATTAGAAATGGGGTAGAGCCCCCAAACCTGTATTTTATTTATTTATTTATTTTTGAGACAGAGTCTCACTTTGTTGTCCAAGCTGGAGTACACTGATGTGATCTCAGTTCATGGCAACCTCTGCCTCCCGAGTTCAGGCAATTCTGTCTTAGCCTCCTGAGTAGCTGAGACTGCAGGCACAGGCCACCACACCTACCTAATTTTTGTATTTTTAATAAACACAGGTTTTTACCATATTGGTCAGGCTGGTCTCGAACTCCTGACCTCATGATCCACCACCTCGGCCTCCCAAAATGCTAGGATTACAGGTGTGAGCCACTATAACCAGCCAAACCTGTATTTTAATAAAGTTACAGAGCAAAGGTCCATACAAATACATTTGATGTTTGTATTTAGCAGACTTCCTAATCTTCTTAATTAATCCTAACAATTTACTTGCATCAATTTTTTTTTTTGAGATGGGATCTCTGTCACCCAGGCTGGAATGCAGTGATGTACTCTTGGCTCACTGCAACCTCTGCCTCCTGGGCTCAGGTGATCCTCCTACCTCAGCCTCCTGAATAGTTGGGGCCACAGATATACATCACCATATGCAGCTAATTTTTTTGTATCTTTTTTTTTTTTTGCTATTAATCATGCCACATGATTTTTAATTATGCATAAAGATCTATCATATCACCCAGAGACCATTTCACCCACTGCTCTGTTTGGCTACCAGTCTTTTGTCTCTCTCTTTAGCAATGGTGAGGCGGATACCCTTTCCTCGGGGAAGAGAAATCCATGGTTTGTTGCCCTTGCCAATAACAAAAATATTGGAAAGTCGAGTAGCAAAGCTGTTGCCATTGGCAGCTTTCACATGAACCACATCGAAAGATCCAGGGTGGCTCTCTCTGTTGGTAATCACACCAATTCTTCCCAGGTTAGCACCCCAGTCACCATACACAGGTTACCAGTGTCAAACTTGATGAAATCAGTAATCTTGCCAGTTTCCAAATCAATCTGAATGGTATCATTCACCTTGATGAGGGGATCAGGGTAGCAGATGGTGCAAGCATCATGAGTCACCAGATGAGGGATTCCTTTTGTGCCCACAAAGATTTTTCGTACTTTGCACAATTTGTACTTGGCCTCCTTAGGTGTAATACGATGTACAGCAAAGCGACCCTTGGTGTCATAGATCAGACGGAAATTCTCTCCCGTCTTGTCAATGCTGATGACATCCATGAAACAAGCAGGGTAGGTTATATCAGTTCAGACCTTGCCATCGATCTTAATGAACCGTGCATGCAAATCTTCTTTACTTCATCTCTTGTCAGGGCATACTTAAGTCTGTTCCTTAGGAAAATGATGAGGGGGAGACACTCTCTCAACTTGTGAGGACCGGTGGATGGACGAGGAGCAAACACATCGGTCAATTTATCCAGCATCCAATGCTTTGGAGCTGCCATCCGTTTCAGATGCTTCTTGGGACCATGAGCCATGGCTGCGTTAGGCAAGGAAAGAGGACCTCCGTCTTCCGGTGAGCGTAGAAATTGGGGCTCTTTTTTTTTTTTTTTTTTTTTTTTCTGAGACAGAGTTTCACTCTTGTTACCCAGGCTAGAGTGCAATGGCGCGATCTCGGCTCACCGCAACCTCTGCCTCCTGGGTTCAGGCAATTCTCCTGCCTCAACCTCCTCAGTAGCTGGGATTACAGGCACGTGCCACCATGCCCAGCTAATGTTTTGTATCTTTAGTAGAGACAGGGTTTCACCATGTTGACCAGGATGGTCTCGATCTCTTGACCTCGTGATCCACCCGCCTCAGCCTCCCAAAGTGCTGGGATTACAGGCTTGAGCCACCATGCTCAGCCTCTCTTAAATTTTTTTTAACTTTTATTTTAGGTTTAGGGTTACATGTGAAAGTTTATTACATAGGTAAACTTGTATCATAGGGTTTTATCATACAGATTATTTCATCATCACCCAGGTATTAAGCCCAGAAGCAGAAAAGATAACTATTGGGTACTGGGCTTAATACCTGGATGAATCTCTTTTATCAGACTAAAGAAGCTTTCTAATTTGCTAAGGAGCTTTTAAAAAAAATAATTAATGGATGTGGAAATTTATCAAATGATTTTTCTGCATTTTACTGAAATGATCATAAGATTTTTCTCATTTAGTGAGTTTATTGATGTGTCAGTATTAAACCAAGTTTGCATTCCAGCAGTGAGCCAAATTGATTGTCATGTTTTTTTGTTTGTTTGTTTTTTCAAGAGGGAGTCTCACTCTGTACCCCACGCTGGAGTGCAGTGGTGCAATCTCAGCTCACTGCAACCTCTATCTCCTGGGTTCAAGTGATTCTACTGCCACAGCCTCCCAAATAGCTAGGATTACAGGTGCCTGCCACCACATCCAGCTAAGTTTTTGTATTTTTAGTAGAGACAGGATTTCACTGTGTTAGCCAGGCTGGTTTTGAACTTCTGATCTCAAATGATTCGCTAGCCTTGGCCTCCCAAAGTGGTGGGATTACAGGCATGAGCCACTGTGCCTGGCTGATTGTGACGTATTTTTATATGTATATTGCTGGATTTCGTTTGCCAGTATTTGAGGGGTTTGCATCTTTTTTTTTTTTAATCAATGATATTAACCCATAAGTTCCTTTTAAGATCTGTGTCAAGTTCTTTTAGGGAAGATGTAACCAACGTAGCTGACAAAGTGCCTGGCACTCATCTCCTCCACAAAGTGGGATCAAAGCAGCAAGTAGAAACCACACGTCAAGAAGACTAAGAGAGAACACTAGAATTCACCAGGAAAGTGATGGGGCACCTCTGAGGTACAGAAGGAGAGTGAAACAAAGAAGCACCCAGCCCAGCTGGAATTGGCTCAGAGCTGAGAAGAATTTGCCATTACTAGAAAAAGGTAAGGGGGAGATCCCTAGCAGTCCACATTCCTAGCAGGATGCCTGCAATCCTAGCCACAGGAGAGCCCCTTGGCCCTAACAGGCCCTGAGCCTAGTATAGGGAGCTGCTTAGAGTTCACAAAACTGTATTGTTCAAGAAAGGGAATTTACACTGGATCCCACTCACCCCTGACACCCAAGCAACTGCAGCATAGTGCCATTTTGAGAGCTTAGCCCCCACCAAACTATATCCTGCCCTAGGACTCAACAGCCAGGAACATTCCTAGAGCACCACTGACATCATCCCACATCCACCTAGAGGGCTGCAGCATTGCAATGCCAGCTGGACTCAGTGCTATAGCCAGTTCCTCGGCCCTCTAGCCTACATGGTATCCTATACCCTAGAGAATGGGTGCTTAAGCACACCAGAAAGGCTGCCCCAAGGACAAAGGGGACCAAAGTATGCATTCCCTACAGGCTGCCAGCCTGAGACTGCTGCCACCAACTGCAATCCTTCCCTTCCAGCATCAGGGCCAGCACATACCTGTATATGCTTTGAAAGGCATGAGAAACAGTCCTCCCTCACACACCATCCAAGGGTGTGAGGACAAGCCTGCCAAGTCCACTGCTGCTGCAAGCGCCTGCATGCACCTCTGGGGGCCAGAGGACAGGCCCAACCAACCTGTCACTGCCACTGCAACACCCACCCATACATGCCACCTAGGAGCCTGGGGACTGGGCTGGCTAGTCCATTGGCACCTTTGCTAGCACTCATGAACACCACACCAGGGGCCTGAGGGCCAGCCTCTTGACATTACTGCCACTGCCAGTACCACAAGTGCTACCCAGGGGCCCGAGGACCCACCTGCCTGACCTGCCACTACCACTACCAGCACCTGAGCCTGCCACCTGAAGTAGACCACCCAGGGGCCTGAGGACTGGCCCACCTGCCCTTCTGCTGATACCACTGGTGCTGGAGGACTGGCTCACTTGGTGTCCCTATCCCCAGTGAAGTCTCCCACTACAACCTACATAACCTCATCTTATTTAAGACAACAAGACAAAGCAGAAGAAAAAATTTCTGAACTGAAATCATGTTTTTTGAAATAACCAAGTCAGACATAAAAAAACAGTAAAAGCCGTGTGACATATGGGACACAATAGCAAGAACAAAAATTCAGATTTGGGGAGTTCCAGGAGAAGAAATGGGCAAAGGTATAGAAAGCCTATTTAATGAAATAATAGCTGAAAACTTCCGAGGTCTTGCAAGGGACATAGATATTTGGAAACAGGAAATGTAAAGAGTCCCAAATAGATTAAAGAAGTCTTCCTAGAGACAAATGATAGTCAAACTGTCAAAATTCAGAAGCAATTCTAAAAACAGCAAAAGCAAAGCATCAAACCACATATAAGGGAATCTCCATCAGACTAACAATGAATTTCTCAGCAGAATCCTTATGGGTCAGGAGAGAAAGGAATAATATAGTAAAAGTACTGAGAAAGGAATAATATACTAAAAGTAAAAGGGTGGGGGGACCCTGCCAACTAAGAATCCTATATCCAGCAATTGTGTCCCTCAAAAATAAAGGGAAAGTACAGTCTTTCCCAGAAAAGCAAAAACAGAGATAATTCATCATCACTAGACTGGCGCCACAGGAAATATTTAAGGGAGCCCTAAACTGGGAAACAAAGGGACAACACCTACCATTATGAAAACTTACAAAAGTAATAAAACTCACTGGTAGAGCAGATACACGAAACAGGAATAGAAACATTGTTACTCCTTAAAAAAGACCACCAAATCATAAAGTAATGGAAGAAAGGACGTACAAAACAATCAGAAAACAAGCTGGAATGTAAAAGTTTAAGTTCTTCTCAACTGAAGGATATAGACTGGCTGAATGGCTAACAAAAATAAGACCCAAATATATGCTATCTACATGAAACTCATCTCATCTATAAAAGAAAGACACATAGAGTGAAAATGAAGGGATGAAAAAAAAAACATGCAGACAAACCAAAAGCATGCAGGAGTAGCTACACATGTAACAAAGGAGACTTTAAATCAAAAATAATGAGACGAGAAAAGTAATTATAATAAAGGAATCAATTAGGCAAGAAGATATAACAATTGTAAATATCTATGCACCCAACACCAGAACACCCAATTATTAGAGCTAAAAAGAGAGACTCTAATACAACAAGAGTTGGGGACTTCAACACCCCACATTCAGCATGGGAGAGGTTACCTAGACAGAAATTCAAGAAACATTGGAATTAAACTGCACTTCAGACCAAATGAATCTAACATTTTGAGAACATTTCATGCAACAACAGCAGGAAATACATTCTCATGAGTACATGGAACATTCTCCAGGATGAACCGTATGTTAGGCCACAAAACAAGGCTCAACGAAGTTTTAAAAATTGAAATCATATAAAGTATCTTCTCAGACCACAGTGAAATAAAACTGGGAATCAACAGGAACTTTGGGAACAAATATGTGGAAATTAAACAATGTACATCTGAATAACCAATGGGTCAATGAAGAAATTAAGAAAGAAAGGAAAAATTCTTGAAACAAATGAAAATGGAAAAACATACCAAAACCTTTGTGACACAGAAAAAGCAGTGCTAAGAGGGAAGTTTATAGCAATTAACATCTATACCTAAAAAGTAGAAAGATGTTGAATTAACCTAAAAAATCCATCTCAAGGAACTAGAAAAGCAAGAACAAACTAAACCTAAAATTAGTAAAAGGAAAGAAAGAATAAAGAGCATAGCAAAACAAAATGAAATAGAAACTGAAAAAAACAATACAAAAAATCAAAATGAAAAATTGGTTCTTTGAAAATGTAAACACAATCAATAAACCACTAGCTAGCCTAACCAAGAAAGACAAAGGATCCAGACAAAATGAGAAGTAAAAAAAGAGACATGACTGGGCACGGTGGCTCACACCTGTAATCCCAGCACTTTGTGAGGCCAAAGTGGGCAGATTGCCTGAGGTTGAGAGTTCAAGACCAGCCTGATCAACATGGAGAAAACCCTTCTCTACTAAAAATACAAAGTTAGCCAGGTGTGGTGGCACATGCCTGTAATCCCAGCTACTTGGGAGGCTGAGGCAGGAAAATTGCTTGAACGCAGTAGGCAAAGGTTACAATGAGCCAAGATCATGCCATTGCACTCCAGCCTGGGCAACAGGAGCAAACTCCTTCCAAAAAAAAAAAAAGAGAGAGACATTACAATTGATACAACAGAAATACAAAAGGTCATTAAAGACAATTATGAGCAACTATAGAATAACAAAAATGGAAAACCTACAGGAAATGTATACATTCCTGGACACATATAACCTACCAAGATTTAACCAGGAAGAAATAGAAAACCCAAAGATACCAATAATATGTAATAAGATTGAAGCAGTAATAACTCTCCCAATACAGAAAAGCCCAGGACCAGATTTAGTGCTAAATTCTAACAGACTTTAAAAGAAGAAACACCCAATTTGCAGATGCTGCCACCACTGGGAGCCCCATACTATCAGCCACGGTCAACCCCACTGTGTTCCTCGACATTGCTGTTGATGGTGAGCCATTGGGCTGCATCTCCTTTGAGCCACTTGCAGACAAGTTTCCAAGGACAGCAGAAAACTTTCATGCTCTGAGCACTGGAGAGAAAGGATTTGGTTCTAAGGGTTCCTGCTTTCAGAGAATTATTCCAGGGTTTATGTGTCAGGGTGGTGACTTCATACACCATAATGGCACTGGTGGCAAGTCCATCTACAGGAAATTTGATGAGAACTTCATCCTAAAGCATACAGGTCCTGGCATCTTGTCCATGGCAAATGCTGGATCCAACACAAATGGTTCTCAGTTTTTCATCTGCACTGCCAAGACTGAGTGGTTGGATGACAAGCATGTGGCCTTTGGCAAGGTGAAAGAAGGCATGAATATTTGTGGACGCCATGGAGTGGTTTTGGGTTCAGGAATGACAAGACCAGCAAGAAGATCGATCACCGCTGCTGATGGTGGACCACTCTAATAAGTTTGACTTGTGTTTTATCTTTTGTTTTTGTTTGTTTTCTGAGACAGAGTCTCGCTTTTGCCAGGCTGGGGGGCAGTGGCACGATCTCAATTCACTGCAAACTTCCACTCCCTGGTTCAAGTGATTCTCCTGCCTCAGCCCCCCAAGTAGCTGGGATTACAGGCATGTGTCACCATGCCCTGCTAATTTTTGTATTTTTAGTAGAGACAGGGTTTCACTATGTTGGCCAGGATGGTCTCTATCTCCTGACCCCATGATCCACCCATCTCGGCCTCCCAAATGCTGCAATTACTGGCGTGAGCCGCCACGCTTGGCTGACTTGTGTTTTATCTTAACCACGAAACCATTCCTCCTGTAGCTGAGGAGAGCATCCCTCCACCCCATTTGCTCACAGTATCCTATGATCTTGGTGCTCTAGTTGCATTTCCTTTGGGTTTTCCTTGTTCCCTTCCCTGGATTGCAGAGTTAAGTTTATGATTATGAAATAAAAACTAAATAACAACAAAAAAGAAATAACACCCAATTTTATCAAACTATTCCAAAAAATTGAAGAAAAGAGAATTCTTCCTAATTCATTCTATGAGGCCAGCATTACCGTGATACAAAACCAGTCAAAACCAGACAAAAAAAGAAAACTGCAGGCCAGTATTGTTGATGAATATAAATGCAAAAATCCTCAACAAAATGCTAGCAAACTGAATCCCGCAACATGTCAAAAAGATAATACCATGGTCCAAGGGGATTTATACCAGGGATGCAAGGCTGGTTTGACATACACAAATTAATAAACATGGTATGTCACATCCAACAGAATGAAGGACAAAAACCATGTGATCTTTGTATTCGTCCATTTTCACTACTATAAATAAATACCTGAGGCTGGGTAATTTATAAAGGAAAGAGGTTTAAGTAACTCACAATTCCACGTGGCTGAGGAGGCCTATGGAAACTTAAATTCATCGCAGAAGACAAAGGGGAAACAGGAGCCTTCTTCACATAGCAACAGGAGAGAGAAGTGGAAGCAGGGGAAATGCCAGACACTTATAAAACAGTCAGATCTCTACTCCAAGAATGTTACGAAAAAAATTTTTTTAAAGAAAAAAAAAGGTCAAATCTCATGAGAAGTCACTATCATGAGAACAACATGGAGGAATCTGCCCCCATGATCCAGTCACCTCCCTTCCTCAACACATGGGGATTACAGTCCCTCCTTCTACATGTGGGGATTACAACTCAAGATGAGATTTGGGTGGGGACATAGAGCCAAACTATATTAACCTTCTCAATGGATTCAGCAATTGCATTTGCTAAAATTAAACATCACTTCATGATAAAAACAAATCTGGCATAGAAGAAACATACCTCAATATAATAAAGGCCATATATGACAAACTCACAGCTAACATTATACTGACGAGGGAGAAGCTTAAAGCACTTCTAAGAAGTGGAACCAAAGTTGCCCACTTTCACTTCTACTAATCAATGTGTAATACTGAAAGTCCTAGCCAGAACAGTCAGGTAACAGAAATTTTAAAAAGACATCCAAATTGGAAAAGAGGAAGTTAAATTGTCCCTTTTTGCATATGACTCAATCTTATAGTTTAAAAACCTAAAGACTCCAGCAAAAAAACTCTTAGAACTGATAATTGAACTCAGTAAAGTTAGAGGATACAAAATCAATATTAAAAAGTCAGTGGTATGGCCACGCATAGTGGCTTACGCCTGTAATCCCAGCACTTTGGGAGGTCAAGGGGTTCATTCTTCTGAATGGCTGAGTTATTACTCATGATGTATAATAATTTATTCAATCATTTATCTGTAGATGGGCATTTGTAATTTCCTGTTTCTTTTCTCCCCCACTATGAACAATGCTGCAATAAACGTCCTTGTATATATCCTTATATATCAACACTAATGGCTTTATTCTCATGGAATAGATTCCCAAGAGAAGAAGATATGTGGGGCATATTTTTAAAAACTTTATTGGAAGTACATTTTTAAATATTTATTGAAGTTTAACATTGTTTTAAAATATAAAAGTTTTATTGAAGTTTAACATTCTTTTAGAACATAACATAAAGAAAGATAAAAATCATAGGAATATAGCTTATTTTTCACAAAGCGAATTGTCTTTGTGACTAGAACCCAGATCAAAAATAGAAAATTACCATAATCTCAGAAGTTCCTTTCATGCCACCTTCTAGTTACTAACTCCCCTCTAAACTGGGCATTGTGTGGACTTCTAAGACTATATATATTATAGATTTACCTTTTTATAAAATGGAATTTTATAAAATTTCTACTTTATAAAATGGAATTTTTAATACTGTCAGATTGCTTTCCTAGGAACTTATAATACCTATTTTCTTTCTTTTTTTTTTTTTTCCCTTCA